GTGTGTGTGAGTGTGTGAGTGGTGTGTGTGTTGTGTGTGTGAGTGGTGTGTGTGTGTGGTGTGTGGTGGTGTGTGGTGTGAGTGTGTGTGTGTGTGTGTGTGGTGTGTGTGGTGTGTGGGTGTGTGTGAGTGTGTGGTGGTTGTGGTGTGTGTGTGGTGTGTGGTGGGTGTGTGTGTGGTGAGTGTGTGGTGTGTGAGTGGGTGGTGGTGTGAGTGTGTGGTGGTGAGTGTGTGTGTGGTGTGTGTGTGTGTGTGTGTGGAGTGTGTGTGTGGTGTGTGTGTGGTGGGTGTGTGTGTGGTGGGTGTGTGGTGTGTGTGTGTGTGTGTGGTGGTGTGTGAGTGGGTTGTGGTGTGTGTGGGTGGTGTGTGGTGTGTGTGTGTGGGAGTGTGTGTGTGTGTGGTGTGTGTGTGTGTGTTGGAGTGTGTGGTGAGTGGTGTGTGAGTGGTGGTGTGTGTGGTGTGTGTGTGTGTGGTGTGTGTGTGTGTGTGTGTGTGTGGTGTGTGTGTGTGGTGGTGTGTGGTGTGGTGTGTGAGTGTGTGGTGTGTGTGTGAGTGTGTGTGTGAGTGAGTGAGTGAGTGTAGAGTGAGTGTGAGATGTGAGTGTGTGAGTGAGTGAGTGAGTGAGTCAGTGAGTGTGTGAGTGAGTGAGTGAGTGAGTGTGATGAGTGAGTGAGTGAGTGAGTGAGTGAGTGAGAGTGAGTGAAGTGGTGTGTGAGTGAGTGTGTGAGTGAGTGGTGAGTGTGTGTGTGAGTGTGTGAGTGAGTGAGTGTGTGAGTGGTGTGAGTGAGTGAGTGAGTGAGTGAGTGGAGTGTGTGAGTGAGTGTGTGAGTGAGTGGTGAGGTGTGTGTGAGTGTAGTGTGGTGTGTGTGTGTGTGTGAGGTGAGTGAGTGTGTGTGTGTGTGTGTGAGTGTGAGTGAGTGAGTGAGTGTGTGAGTGAGTGAGTGAGTGTGTGAGTGAGTGAGTGAGTGTGAGTGTGAGTGAGTGAGTGTGTGTGTGTGTGAGTGTGAGTGAGTGAGTGAGTGAGTGAGTGTGTGAGTGAGTGTGTGTGTGTGTGAGTGTGTGAGTGAGTGGAGTGTGTGTGTGGGGTGTGTGAGTGAGTGGTGATGTGAGTGTGGTGTGTGTGTGAGTGAGTGAGTGTGTGTGTGTGAGTGAGTGTGAGTGAGTGAGTGAGTGTGTGTGTGTGAGTGTGTGTGGGAGTGAGTGAGGTGAGTGAGTGTGTGAGTGAGTGAGTGAGTGAGTGAGTGTGTGAGTGTGTGAGTGGAGTGTGAGTGAGTGAGTGAGTGTGTGAGTGTGTGTGAGTGAGTGAGTGAGTGTGTGTGTGAGTGAGTGAGTGAGTGAGTGTGTGAGTGAGTGAGTGAGTGAGTGTGTAAGAGTGAGTGTGAGAGTGAGTGTGTGAGTGAGTGAGTGAGTAGTGAGTCAGTGAGTGTGTGACTGAGGTGTGAGTGAGTGTGTGAGTGAGTGAGTGAGTGAGTGTGGTGAGTGAGTGTGTGAGTGTGAGTGAGTGAAGTGAGTGTGAGAGTGAGTGTGTGAGTGGTGAGTGAGTGAGTGTGTGAGTGTGTGAGTGAGTGAGTGTGTGAGTGAGTGTGTGAGTGAGTGGTGTGAGGTGAGTGTGTGAGTGAGTGTGTGAGTGAGTGTGTGAGTGTGTGTGAGTGAGTGAGTGAGTGAGTGAGTGAGTGTGTGGAGTGAGTGAGTGAGTGTGAGAGTGAGTGGAGTGAGTGAGTAAGTGTGTGAGTGTGTGAGTGAGTGTGAGAGTGGTGGTGAGTGAGTGAGTGTGAGTGAGTGAGTGAGTGAGTGTGTGTGTGTGTGAGTGAGTGAGTGGTGGGTGAGTGGTGTGAGAGTGAGTGAGTGAGTGAGTGAGTGAGTGAGTGAGAGTGAGTGTGAGAGTGAGTGTGTGTGTGTGAGTGAGTGAGTGTGTGAGTGGTGAGTGTGAGGTGAGTGAGTGAGTGTGAGTGTGAGTGTGAGGAGTGTGTGAGTGGAGTGAGTGAGTGTGAGTGAGTGAGTGAGTGTGGAGAGTGGTGAGTGAGTGAGTGAGTGTGAGTGAGGTGTGAGTGTGTGAGTGAGTGTGAGAGTGAGTGTGAGTGAGAGTGAGTGAGTGAGTGAGTGGTGTGGAGTGAGTGAGTGAGTGAGTGAGTGTGAGTTGAGTGTGAGAGTGAGTGTGTGAGTGAGTGAGTGAGTGTGTGTGTGAGTGAGTGAGTGATTGGTGAGTGAGTGAGTGTGGAGTGAGTGAGGTGAGTGTGTGGTGAGTGAGTGTGTGAGTGGTGGTGAGTGAGTGAGTGAGTGAGTGTGTGTGTGTGTGAGTGATTGAGTGAGTGGTGTGTGTGAGAGTGGTGAGTGTGTGTGTGTGAGTGAGTGGTGAGTGTGTGAGTGAGTGTGAGAGTGAGTGTGTGAGTGATGTGTGAGTGTGTGAGTGAGTGAGTGAGTGTGTAGGTGAGTGAGTGTGTGAGTGAGTGAGTGAGTGAGTGTGTGAGTGTGTGTGTGAGTGAGTGAGTGAGTGTGAGAG